CTTCAACTCATTCTCTCAATCCTTCTTCAGGCTTTGGTATTCACACCCTCTCAAGAGGATGGATGACTTTATTTATGAAATTTGAGAGAGGTCCCCTGCAAATAAGAAAGAAATTCAGGCAACTCCATCAGACGGTCGGGAGAGATTCACTCGATGAGACGACATTCTGTGGATATTTGAGTGTCTTAATGATGTCATAATTAAATGATCTTGGACTCGTTATATTTGTTTCATCAAGACACTCAATTTGAATTTAAATTTGTCAGATTTGAAATATATTCGCATTCCAACTGCCATTGGAAGCTTATAAAAGACGTAACAGGTCGAACTTAGTTTGATTTGACTCAGATTGCATCGACTTTGATGTCATTGTGATTGTCTCGTCCAGTTAGTTAGTTTGTATGTACCTTACTTACATTGTGAAATAATTTGAAAAAAAAGAAGAAGAAAGATTTACATTAATATCACTAAATTCTCAGGTATTTACATATTTAACAACCAAGCTTCCATATTTATATATCACATAATAACTTTTTATGTAATATAAAATATTCAATTGGTATAGATGTAAAAAAAAAATGGTGTTAAATATTTAAAATAAAGTAAGAATCTGATGCTATGTACGTAATAGCCCAAAAAATAAAAATAAATAAATAAATTGCTTAAATCGATTTTGGATTTTTTAGCGTTTAAAATTTCTCAAAAATATATATAAAAAAAAGGAAAGTAATACTGCAACAACTGTAAAGGAAATTGTGTGCTGTGCTGGAAGCAACCACGACCGCCTCCAATTTCAAATTTACAAGACTCCGTCGGCAGCCCCAAATCAGCCACCAAACAGAAACCCTAATCCCCGATTCGAGAAAACCCTTATCCCTAAATTAGTCAAAAAGAGACGACAAACTTCTAGATTGAAGAATCGTTTAATCTTTTGCTTCGGAACCACTATAAATACTCCTCTTTTGATGCCCACATTGCGTTATCCATACTTCAATTTCTGCTGCGACACTTTCTCTCTTTGTTCTTCTCTTCTACGACAGATTTCCGATGGGCGAGGGATTGAAGAAGATTTTCAACGGGATATACTCATCGTGTCAGGCTGAGGAGGAAGAAGATCTCGGCCAGTATTCTGATTCAGGTGGAGAATCCGATTCCGCTACCTCGCCGCGGAGCCGGCTGCGGAGATCGCCTCCATCTCGCTTTGATTCCGGCAACCCACTTTACGATTTCTCCTACCTCGTCGAGCAGCTGCCAGTAAAGTATGTATTTGTTGTTGTGTAAACTCTATATGCAAAGGGATTTCTTTTCTTTTTGTGAGTTTTAGTCAGAGTTCAATATGGGTTTGGTTTGATTGAAGTAACTGGAAAAAAACTTGGTTTTGTTTTTCGATCTAAAAGTTTTAAGGTGTTTTACTTGTGATTCTTGTTGCTAATTGATTACCCCAAGATGAAATCTTCAATAAGCTGTGATTACTACAACTGGAAAAAGTGGTTTTGTTATAAATTTATTTGCATTGATTACATGGTTTATTTGGATCTTGTTGCTGTTCCTGTTATCCATTGTCTTGTTTAGGTATTTTTTTCTCCCAGTTCAGCACTAAACCTAGCCCTAAAACTTTCTTTGATCTGTAATCAGTGTTTAATAAAACATCTGAATCAGTTCTTTTAAAGTCGATCAGTTGGTTTGTCTTTCTAGTTTCTGATTCAATTTTTTTTTTTTTCAGAATTTTTAAATTGAACTGCAAGTCCATGTATTTAGGAATCAAATATCTCAATCATTAAACTTTCTTCTTTCAAGGCCAAACTTGCCAAGATTTAATCTTTCGAGTTCAATTTGTATTATGAATTTTTGTTTGTCATTTGTTTGATTTACTTACACATTGATGATCACTATTATTCTAAATTTAAGGGAAAAAAAAATTGAAACGTTGGTGATCTCATAACAACCAAACTTATGGCAAACCCAACTTGATCCTGTTCTATAAAGGGCTGTTTGGAATCTTAGTCTAAGTAGAATACAAGCAAGATATAGCTCAAATCCTATTTGTTTTGATAAATGTCATTTCAGTCCAATTTATTAGTTAAATTCAGATTTTTTTAAATTCAACTATGTATAACATTTAATAGATTCAAGGGATTCTTTCTCATGCAAATCTAAATCCTGAAATAAATAGCCAAAGAATTTAGAAGGATTTAGAAAGTTTTAATAGTTGTATTTCTAAAAACTTTTCAGATTTTAATCCTTCCAAGTCTTGCCAAGGGGCTTATTTGGTATCATCTATAGCTGTTTTAGTAAATCTTGCAAATCCGGATTCACAGCAGGATTTTAGGCAGAACTTAGAAGAAACTAAGAAGAAACCAGCTTTTGACTTGCATATTATTTAAAAGTGTAGTTTTTGCTGTCTGACAAAATTTAAGTTAAATCTCACTTAAATCGGTTACAAGACAGCCTATAAATTTGAATTTACAGTATATACCAAGTGCTGCTTAGCCTTCGTCTCTAAGGTTAAATGATAGGTAGTATATGTTTGAGTTAACATAAAAATTGATTTTTGCTATAATTTACATAAAAAAATTCAAATTTTGCAGGAAAGGTCTCTCCAAATACTACCATGGAAAGTCTCAATCTTTTACCTCCCTCTTAGAAGTGAAGGCTTTGGAAGATCTCCCCAAGAAGGAGACAGAGGTTATCTTCACAAGAAAAATGAAGCCATGCAAGAGCTACACAGTTCTGGACATGGCTGAAATGCCAGTTTCTTTATCATCTGAGAGCAACTCCACATTGAAGAAAACGCTTCCGTCTATGGCTTCCTGTGCTTCTTCGATAGCAAGGAGTAAAAGTGGCGGCTCCCGACCTCCGGTGGCCACCGGCCTCCTATTCCTGTGAACAAGCGTCAGTAAGCTGGTTTCAGAAGTTATGTAGCTGAGTTAATAAGCCAGAGGGCTTGTTGCTTTGTTGTTGCCATTTTTTGTACAGATGAGGGGGGAGGTTTAGGTGAAAGAAATGTGAACTTTTTAAGTTTTCTTTTTCAGATGTTTTGTTTGGAAATTGATGATTTATGATTTTGAATTCTGGTGATTTGTTGGTCTTCAAAATGTGCTTAAATTGTTCATGTGCTTGGTAATGTTTCAGTAGGTAAAATGATGCTTGCCATAAGTTATTGAAAGATTTATATATATACCACTTAGTTCCTTTGTATTTACATGTCTAACATCTAAATTTCAACTTTTTCATATAATGTCATATTTTCTAAACTTGAAAAGGTGTATTTCACTTTTGATAAGTTATAATAGTGGCATTTTTTGTGTGATTTGAAAATTTTGGTTGATATAAATGTGAACTTAAAGTTTGTGTTACATATGTAAATACATAACAATGGAGTGCTATGTATGCAAATGCCCTGTTATTTAGTAACGCTTCAGTAGGTGAAGTGATGCTTACCACAAGTTTTTGAAATATTTACATACATTACCACTTAGTTCCTATATATTTAGATGTCGTAGATGTCTAATATCTAAATTTCAATATATATATATATATATAAAGAATGGTTGGAGGCTATTGTACGAGCTCCAACTACCCTGAGGTGTCTAACTATTCGAAGATCGACCTCACTACCAGCTGGCCAAAGGGGATTCGATCCCGTGACCTGAAGGGACTTACGACCTTGAAAAAGGCTGCTCTACAAACAGGCAACAACTGTGTCACATTTGAATTTCAATATATATATATATATATATATATATATATATACATA